ACAGACAGAACCATTCTGTATGTATTATCACAACAGACAGAACCATTCTGTATGTATTATCACAACAACCAGTACCATTCTGTATGTATTATTACAACAGTCAGAACCATTCTGTATGTATTATTACACCAGCTAGAACCATTCGGCATGTATTATTACAACAGCCAGAACCATTCTATATGTTCTGTATGTATTATTACAACAACCAGACCCATTCTGTATGTATTATTACAACAGCCAGAACTATTCTGTATGTATCATTACAACAGCAAGAACCATTCTGTATGTATTATTACAACCACCAGAACCATTCTTTATGTATGATTACAACAGCCAGAACCATTCTGTATGTCTTATTACAACAGCTAAAACCATTCTGTATGTATTATTACAACATCCAGAACCATTCTTATTGTATTATTACAACAGCTAAAACCATTCTGTATCAGAACCATTCTGTATGTATTATTACAACCAGAACCATTCTGTATGTATTATTAAAACAGCTAGAACCATTCTGTATGTATTATCACAACAGCTAGAACCATTTATGTTGTATTTCAACAACCAGAACCATTCTGTACGTATTATTACAACAACTAGAACCATTCTGTATGTATTATTACAAAAACCAGAACCATTCTGTATGTATTATTAAAACAGCTAGAACCATTCTGTATGTATTATCACAACAACCAGTACCATTCTGTATGTATTATTACAACAGTATTCTGTATGTATTATTACAACAACCAGAGCCATTCTGTATGTATTATTACAACAACAAGATCCATTCTGTATGTATTATTACAACAACAAGATCCATTCTGTATGTATTATTACAACAACAAGATCCATTCTGTATGTATTATTACAACAGCCAGAACTATTCTGTATGTATCATTACAACAGCAAGAACCATTCTGTATGTATTATTACAACTACCTGAACCATTCTGTATGTATTAATACAACAACCAGAACCATTCTATATGTTGTATTACAACAACCAGAACCATTCTGTAAGTATTATTACAACAGCTAGAACCATTCTGTGTGTATTATTACAACAACCAGAACCATTACAACAACCAGAACCATTCTGTATGTTTTATTTCAACAACCAGAACCATTCTGTACGTATTATTACAACAACTAGAACCATTCTGTATGTATTATTACAACATCCAGAACCATTCTGTATTTATTATTACAACAGCTAGAACCATTCTGTATGCATGATTACAACAGCTAGAACCATTCTGTATGCATGATTACAACAGCTAGAACCATTCTGTATGTATTATCACAACAGACAGAACCATTCTGTATGTATTATCACAACAGCTAGAACCATTTATGTTGTATTTCAACAACCAGAACCATTCTGTACGTATTATTACAACAACTAGAACCATTCTGTATGTATTATTTCAACAAGCAGAACCATTCTGTATGTATTATTACACCAGCTAGAACCATTCGGCATGTATTATTACAACAGCCAGAACCATTCTATATGTTCTGTATGTATTATTACAACAACCAGCAAAATTCTGTATGTTGTATTTCAACAACCAGAACCATTCTCTATGTATTATTACAACAACCAGAACCATTACAACAACCAGAACCATTCTGTATGAATTATCACAACAGCCAGAACCATTCTGTACGTATTATCACAACAACCAGAACCATTCTGTATGTATGTATTATTACAACAGCCAGAACTATTCTTATTGTATTATTACAACAGCCAGAACTGTATGTATTATTACAACAACCAGAACCATGCTGTATGTATTATTACAACAGCTAGAACAATTATGTATGTTGTATTGCAATAACCAGAACCATTCTGTATGTATTATTACGACAGCCAGAACCATTCTGTATGTATTATTACAACAGCTAAAACCATTCTGTATGTATTATTACAACAGCCAGAACCATTCTTATTGTATTATTACAACAGCCAGAACCATTCTGTATGTATTATTACAACAGCTAGAACAATTATGTATGTTGTATTGCAATAATCAGAACCATTCTGTATGTATTATTACAACAGCTAGAACCATTCTGTATGTATTATTACAACAGCCAGAACCATCCTGTATGTATTATTACAACAACCAGAACCATTGTGTATATATTATTACAACAACCAGAACCATTCTGTATGTATTATTACAACAACCAGAACCATTCTGTATGTATTATTACAACTACCAGAACCATTCTGTATGTATTAATACAACAACCAGAACCATTCTGTATGTTGTATTACAACAACCAGAACCATTCTGTATGTATTATTACAACAACCAGAACCATTCTGTATGTATTATTACACCAGCCAAGCCATTCTTATTGTATTATTACAACAGCTAGATCCATTCTTTATGTATAATTACAACAGCCAGAACCATCCTGTATGTATTATTACAACAACCAGAACCATTCTGTATGTTGTATTACAACAGCTAGAACCATTCTGCATGTATTATTACAACAGCTAGAACCATTCTGTATGTATTATTACAACAGCTAGAACCATTCTGTATGTATTATTACAACAGCCAAGCCATTCTTATTGTATTATTACAACAGCTAGAACCATTCTGTATGTATAATTACAACAGCCAGAACCATTCTGTATGTATTATTACAACAGCCAGAACCATTCTATATGTATCATTACAACAGCCAAGCCATTCTTATTGTATTATTACAACAGCTAAAACCATTCTGTATGTATTATTACAACAGCCAGAACCATTCTGTATGTATTATTACAACAACCAGAACCATTCTGTAGGTATTATTACAGCAACCAGAACCATTCTGTAGGTATTATTACAACAACCAGAACCATTCTGTGTGTATTATTACAACAGCTAGAACCATTCTGTATGTATTATTACAACAACCAGAACCATTCTGTATGTATTATAACAACAACCAGAACCATTCTGTATGTATTATTACAACAGCTAGAACCATTTTGTAGGGACCAGAACAATTCTTTAACCTGTTTCCAAACTGTCAACACCGACAACTGTTCCACATAATTTGAAAATAAAAAGTACAATATATAAGAATACCGATTATCAGTAGTAATATAATTGCATCTTATTGATATACATAATCTCAATATCTATCATTATTATATAGATAATAATTTGCACATGTTTGAGTTTGCAGTATTTGCGCTTGTATGCAAAATAGATAAATAAACAAATAGAAAATATAAATCTGTATCTATGTTGCTTTTATTTTTCTATTTGTGACTAGTATATCAACAGATGCCTTCGCTCATATTTACATTCTGACTGAAATAGTTAAAACAAAACACGTACAAACAGTATTGATCTGCCCATACAATGTAGCATTAACCGTCTGTTGTAGTATTCATGTTTGTTTTCATGTAGTGCAGCTACCATTGATACTGTAGTTAGTATTCCAAGAAAATCACTACACATTATACATGTATTTTCCACACTTTACATTTTCGAACCCCAAGTTAACCTGGGCATTGTGTTGCGTTTAAGGAAATATCTAAGCTTTCCATTGTTGACGGTGTTATGTCACGGGAACTCTCGTATGATGGAAGCTATATATATAACATGCTTATCTGTGAAATCGATATATATGATAAAAGAAGAACTGAAATCTCTAAATATATCCTTAAATGTAGCTGAGCCATCGCATTTTTTTACGATTATAGGAGATATCTCTGGTATATTTAAGTTTTTAATAGATTTATCGATTTTTGGTTTGACATTATGTAAATGTTAGTTTGGCTTGCCATTGACGAACGTCGGAGCCAGGCAAAGACCTTTGTATGTTGAGGATAATACCTGGGAGAAACTTTGACCTTGCGTAAATAAAGGGAGAATACATAAGACTGGCAAGGACCTTACGACAGACACGATTTCCCCTTCCCACTCCCTCCTTCACCTATCACTGGGCAGCCCACTACCTCCTTACCAAGGAGAGCAGAGAGTACAGGACATCCTACTAGTATCCCAAATAAGTAACTACCTGACTTGGTGGCGAGAAAAGATGAGACAGGCAATGACTCCAATTTGTGATAAGAATGGTTATCCAATGACCAACTCATACGGGAGATACATGAGGCTGTAATAAGCTAAAGCGGATAATAGCCTAACTCTGCGGGGGAGGGCTACATGAATTTGGTAATGACATAAATTTACGGGTAAGGTAAATGAGACGGACAATACCTTACACGATAGGGAGGATGTATGAAGCTTTGGATTACTTCACGATAGGGAGGATGTATGAAGCTTTGGATTACTTCACTGGGCAAGGAGAATACACGGAGTTTGAAACGACCTCAATTTGCGGGGAAAACACAAGATAACCTTCGCAATGCACGTCAGGAAGAATGTCAAGGAAAATACATGATACATTGCCATATAAGGACTGGTCTGCTGCATTATGCAGGTATTGATTTGATGGAACATACTAATTGAATATAATTGAATAACACGGATTATGTCTGTTTATTTAGAGGGACAGACATATTAATGATCAGACCGGAGAAGTGGTCAAGGTGACACTACATTGTACAGTAGGTGACACTACATTGTACAGTAGGTGACACTCAAACAAGTGGGAGAAATGTGAAATGTGTTGAAGTCAAAACAACTAGTGTTCATCTTGTAACACTAAAACAAAGGGTGAAATATGTATAGCTACACATAACGAAACTTCCCATCACTGACAAACACTGCATCATTGTAAAACATTGTGTTCTGGAGCCAACCAATGCTCAGATAATATTATAGTTAGGCAGATATACTTTCCATGTCATTTCAAACATGTATCATGTATAATTCTTGGGTTTGATACTATGAGAACAATAATTTATTTCTAGTAAATCGGGTTACGTGTCAAACCGTATTTTATCAATGGTGCCAAAAAGATACAGGCAGGATGTTCGATAGGAAAATAAAAACAGAATATGCTTACCAGTCGATGTTTCTGAATCAATTACAAAAGAGTTAATCACAAGGAAAGCTAAAGTGAGTATGTACGACATGTTCCAGTGCACGTGAGGCATTCCAGTGGACACGGTAGTGTAGACCAGGTTACTACAGTGGTGCTCGTGTAGTGCGCAAAGTATAGTGACGTCACGTACCAGGGGCAAGCATCGCGACTACTGAGCACACAGTTTCCTTCAACTTATGTCATTTTCCAGCAAACAGGAAACGGGAGATTCGTCAGCGGAGCGAGAGAGAGCGTTAAGATATAACTCGCATCCGTAAACACAAATAACAAATACACTAGCGTTATCGGAGTAACAATCAATGGGAGAGGTACGAGATGTGTGTAACAGTATATGGGAGAGGTACGAGATGTGTGTAACAATCAATGGTAGAGGTACTAGACGTCTGTAACAATCAATGGTAGAGGTACTAGACGTGTGTAACAATCCATGGTAGAGGTACTGGACGTATGTAACCATCAATGGTAGAGGTACTGGACGTCTGTTACAATCAATGGTAGAGGTATTGGACGTCTGTTACAATCAATGGTAGAGGTACTAGACGTGTGTAAAAATCAATGGTAGAGGTACGAGACGTGTGTAACCATCAATGGTATAGGTACTGGACGTCTGTAACAATCAATGGTAGAGGTACTAGACGTCTGTAACCATCAATGGTAGAGGTACTGGACGTCTGTAACAAACAATGGGAGAGGTACTAGACATGTGTAACAATCAATGGTAGAGGTACTAGACGTCTGTAACCATCAATGGTAGATGTACTAGACGTCTGTAACAATCAATGGTAGAGGTACTGGACGTCTGTAACAATCAATGGGAGAGGTACTATAGACGTCTGTAACAATCAATGGTAGAGGTACTAGACGTGTGTAACAATCATTGGTAGAGGTATTGGACATGTGTAACAATCAATGGGAGAGGTACTAGACGTGTGTAACAATCAATGGGAGAGGTACTAGACGTGTGTAACAATCAATGGTAGAGGTACTAGACATGTGTAACAATCAATGGTAGAGGTACTAGACATGTGTAACAATCAATGGTAGAGGTACTAGACGTGTGTAACAATAAATGGGAGAGGTACTAGACGTCTATAACAATCAATGGGAGAGGTACTAGACGTGTGTAGGCAAACGGGAGGTATGCTTGTCGTGTATATACAAGGCGAAATACACGTGATGTGTTGGTACCAATTGGAGTGGTCCTAGTTGTAAGCAGCAATGGGGAAGGGTGGGGGTGGGGGTGGGGGGCTGTTTCACTGACTAGTTGTCACCAATATTAAACTGTACTGTACAACTGTATATTGATACAATATTTGTGTTGTCTAGTATATTGATACACGTTTGTTGTTATTCAAAGTAATCAAGCCTTGCGTTACATCTTATATATACGATTTTAAAGATATAAACATTTTACTGCGAAAACATCTTGCCGACAAAACACTTGTACACTTGTACACGTGTCAAACCGTATTTTATCAACGGTGCCAAAATGATACAGGCAGGATGTTCGATAGGAAAATAAAAAAACAGAATATGCTTACCAGTCGGTGTTTCTGAATCAATTACAAAAGAGTTAATCACAAGGAAAGATAAAGTGAGTATGATATCAGAGGGAGGGGTACTTTAGACGTTTGAAGACATCAGAGGGAGGGGTACTATAGACGTTTAAGTCATCAGAGGGAGGGGAAATATTCTACAAATGTGTAAACATAAACAGGAGATGTACGACATATGTAGACGTAATAGGGAAAGGTTTTAGACGTACACATTAACCGTAGATTATAACACAAGTTTAGTCATCATAGGGAGGGGTACTATGGACGTTTGAATACATCAGAGGAAAGGGTACTATGGACGTTTAAAGACATCATAGAGAGGGGTACTATGGACGTTTAAAGACATCATAGGGAGGGGAACTATAGACGTTTGAATACATCAGAGGAAGGGGTACTATGGACGTTTAAAGACAGCAGAGGGAGGGGTAATATAGACGTTTAAAGACAGCAGAGGGAGGGGTACTATGGACGTTTAAAGACATCATAGAGAGGGGTACTATGGACGTTTAAAGACATCATAGAGAGGGGTACTATGTACGTTTAAAGACATCGTAGGGAGGGGAACTATAGACGTTTGAATACATCAGAGGAAGGGGTACTATGGTCGTTTAAAGACAGCAGAGGGAGGGGTAATATAGACGTCTGAAGACATCAGAGGGAGGGGTGGTAGACAGGTGTAAACATCAGAGGGAGGGGTATTATAGACGTTTAAAGTCAGCAGAGGGAGGGGTAATATAGACGTTTAAAGACAGCAGAGGGAGTGGTAATATAGACGTTTGAATACATCAGGGGGAGGGATACTATGGACGTTTGAATACATCAGAGGAAGGGGGACTATGGACGTTTAAAGGCAGCTGAGGGAGGGGTAATATAGACGTTTGAATACATCAGGGGGAGGGATACTATGGACGTTTGAATACATCAGAGGAAGGGGGACTATGGACGTTTAAAGGCAGCTGAGGGAGGGGTAATATAGACGTTTGAATACATCAGAGGAAGGGGGACTATGGACGTTTGAATACATCAGAGGAAGCGGTACTATGGACGGTTGAATACATCAGAGGAAAGGGTACTATGGACGTGTAAAGACATCATAGAGAGGGGGACTATGGACGTTTAAAGACAGCAGAGGGAGGGGTAGTATAGACGTCTGAAGACATCAGAGGGAGGGGTGGTAGACAGGTGTAAACATCAGAGGGAGGGGTACTATAGACGTGTAAAGACAGCAGAGGGAGGGGTAATATAGACGTTTAAAGACAGCAGAGGGAGGGGTAATATAGACGTTTGAATACATCAGAGGGAGGGATACTATGGACGTTTGAATACATCAGAGGAAGGGGTACTATGGACGTTTAAAGACAGCAGAGGGAGGGGTAATATAGACGTTTAAAGACAGCAGAGGGAGTGGTAATATAGACGTTTGAAGACATCAGAGGGATGGGGAGTAGACAGGTGTAAACATCAGAGGAAGGGGGACTATAGACGTTTGAAGACATCAGAGGGAAGGATAGTAGACAGGTGTAAACATCAGAGGGAGGGGTACTATAGACGTTTAAAGACAGCATAGGGAGGGGTAGTAGACAGTGGTAAACATCAGAGGGAGGGGTAATATAGACTTTTAAAGACAGCAGAGGGAGGGGTACTATAGACGTTTGAAGACATCAGAGGGATGGGGAGTAGACAGGTGTAAACATCAGAGGAAGGGGGACTATAGACGTTTGAAGACATCAGAGGGAGGGATAGTAGACAGGTGTAAACATCAGAGGGATGGATACTATAGACGATTAAAGACAGCAGAGGGAGGGGTAATATAGACGTTTGAAGACATCAGAGGGATGGGTAGTAGACAGGTGTAAACATCAGAGGAAGGGGTACTATAGACGTTTGAAGACATCAGAGGGAGGGGTAGTAGACAGGTGTAAACATCAGAGGGAGGGGTACTATAGACGATTAAAGACAGCAGAGGGAGGGGCAATATAGACGTTTGAAGACATCAGAGGGAGGGATAGTAGACAGGTGTAAACATACCGACACACCTGGACATGGATTAGACTCTGTCATACCAACACACCTGGACATGGATTATACTCTGTCATACTGACACACCTGGACATGGATTAGACTCTGTCATACCGACACACCTGAACATGGATTAGACTCTGTCATACCGACACACCTGTACATGGATTAGACTCTGTCATACCGACACTCCTGGACATGGATTAGACTCTGTCATACCAACACACCTGGACATGGATTAGACTCTGTCATACCGACACACCTGGAGTTGGATTAGACTCTGTCATACCGACACACCTGGACATGGATTAGACTCTGTCATACCGACACACCTGGACATGGATTAGACTCTGTCATACTGACACACCTGGACGGGGATTAGTCTCTATCATACTGACACACTTGGACATGGATTAGACTCTGTCATACTGACACACTTGGACAGGGATTAGTCTGCACATGGAGCCATTATCTACAGGTGTGGTAAGGAACACCTAGACAGCCTCAGACCACAAAACATGAAGTCATTGTGGACAGGTGTGGTAAGGAAAACCTAGGTAGCCTCATACCACAGGACATGGAGTCATTGTCTACAGGTGTGGTAAGGAACACCTAGACAGCCTCAGATCACAGGACATGGAGCCATAGTCTACAGGTGTGGTAAGGATTACCTAGGTAGCCTCAGACCAAAGGACATGGAGCCATTGTGGACAGGTGTGGTAAGGAAAACCTAGATAGCCTCAGATCATAGAACATGGAGTCATTGTGGACAGGTGTGGTAAGGAACACCTAGATAGCCTCAGACCACAGGACATGGAGCCATTGTCTACAGGTGTGGTAAGGAACACCTAGACAGCCTCAGAGCACAGGACATGGAGTCATTGTCTACAGGTGTGGTAAGGAACCCATAGGTAGCCTCAGACCACAGGCCATGGAGCCATTGTCTACAGGTGTGGTAAGGAACACTTAGACAGACTCAGATCACAGGACATGGAGTCATTGTCTACAGGTTTGGTAAGGAACACCTAGACATTCTCAGATCACAGGACATGGAGTCATTGTCTACAGGTGTGGTAAGGAACACCTAGGTAGCCTTTAAGTGGTAGATATGATTAGTATGCAGGGGAGGAGGGCTTTAATAGGAAAGATGGACATAAAATCTGCCTTTAGGCTAAATCCGCTCCACCCGGATGACTTTGATTTGCTGGGTTTTAAAATAGGGGATGCTTTTTATATTGACAAATGTTTGCCAATGGGTTGTACCATTTCTTGTGCAGTTTTTGAAAAAAAATCAACATTTCTGGAATGGGTTGTCCGGTCGAGATCAGGTTTGGACTCCTTAGATCATTATTTGGATGATTTCCTGTTTGCTGGACAGGGTGGTTGTGATAAGCTAACTAGTGATTGTCAGAAACTAATGGATTGTTTCTCTAGTGTGTGCTGGGAGTTCAGGCTTTGGTGGGACTTTTAAATGTTTGTGCAAAGGCCATACCTTGGGATCGGGCTTTCAATCGTAGGTTCTATGATGCCATGATTGGTATAAAAAGTCCCATAATTTTATAAGGATAAATGCAGGTATGAGAGAAGACATGAGAAC